TTTTTTTTTTTTTTTTAAGAATTTTCTGAATGTTTGTTTATTTTGAAAGAGAGAGAGGGAGAGAATCCCAAGCAGGCTCTAGACTGAGCCACCCAGGCACCCCAACATTTAATTTTCTTAATATATTTAGTATTTCAAAAAGTGGAAATCTTAAAAGATATTTGGGGGAGAAGGCCTTTTCTTTGTAACCAATAAAAGAACTTGGGGCAGTAACCTGCTGAGTGTCCAGACACTAGAGCAGGACTGTACCTGTGACATCACTGATTGGCCCCAAGGCACGATTTATTAGCTGATTAGATGAGTTGTAGTTGCATGTCTGACGGTTAGCCTGCATTTCCAGGCTAGTCTGCAAGCTACTAGGACCCTTTCCCAAATATACGATGCCCCCCAGGTTCTTTGTCCTGGGAGGTGTGAGTCCAGAGCATGGGATAGGGTCAGAAGAGTCAGCTGCTGCTCTGTGGTCCTGCTCTTAAGTTTCTACTCTGAAGGCCTCCCCACCCCAGTTTTCACAGGTGTCAAAGGAAAACCGAACATCCAATCTACTCACTATGTGTAGAATGTCTTCCATGTTTTCGGTGGCATCTGCTTTTTTTAAGGTTTACTTATTTTGAGAGAGAGAGAGCACATAAGGGGGAGGGGGGCAGAGAAAGGGGGAGAGAGAATCCCAAGCAGGCTGTGTGGTCAGCACAGAGCCTGACCTGAGACTCGAACCCATGAACTGTGAGGGATGATGACCTGAGCCAAGATCAAGAATTGGACACTTAACTGACTGAGCCACCCAGTCTGCATTTTTAAACCAGAACACCATTGCTGTTAATACAGGTGAATTCTAAGAGTGGAGACAGTGGCCCAGAAAAGATTACAGCCATCTAGCTGTCTGTATTGGCTTCCAGGAAGAAGTTGGCGTCTACGTATTGGGGTGCTTTTATGTTTTAACTGTGTTTTGTTTTTACCCAAAGACATTTGGACTGTGGATTCATTTTATAATTTTACAAGTCTAATGGACATACATATTGGACACTGGAAGGAATGAAGGAATGTTCCTCGTGCCTAAGCACAGACTAGAAGGTTAGGACTGACACCAAAACTTGCCTGCCCTTTCCCTTGAGGCACGCATATTTGTAGTATAATTTTAAAATACATACATAATTTTAGCTTACTTACAATCTATGCCAAAAGTTGTAATAAAAGTTAATTCTGCAGCTTCTAAAAAGCACTGCATAGGAAAACTAAAATACAAAGAAGTTAAAAGCTACTGCAGAGATCTCTACAGAAGAGGACAAGCAAGGTAGGGCAGTCTAGTCTGCTTGCACAGCTGGTAAAGCTCTTTTGAGATTCCATACATTGTTTGATTTTTTTAGCCAAACATATAGCCATATTTTTATAAAAACAAGATCACTTTGTCATACCAATTATTTTATGTATTTTTTAAACTTTGGAAAATTGGATTTCTTTTACCCTAAATAAAAAAAAAAATTTTTTTAAGGTTAAGCATCTGACTCTTGGTCTCGCCTCAGGTCATGATACCGTGGTTTGTGGGTTTATTCCCCAAGTAGTCAGGCTCTGCATTGACAGCGTGGAGCCTGCTTGGGACTCTCTGTTCCTCCCATGCTTGTGTGTGCTGTGTCAAATAACCTTAACAAATTTTAAATTTTAAGTCAACTCTGCCACCAGTGTGGAGTTCAAACGCACAACTGACTGACTACAAGATCAAGAGTCACTTGCTCTGCTGCCACTGAGCCAGCCAGGTGCCCCACACCCTAAATTAAATTTTGCAAGTATTTAAAGTTTTAGATCAAGAGGTCTCTAAGTCTGCTCTTAGGTGCATTAGAGCGTGGTCAGATTTTCCCTAAAAGATCTCTAGAAAATGTAACTGTAATGTTTCCTTTTCACGCTTCAACTCCCAGCATTGTAATGTTAGCTGGGAAACAGGAAAATTTGAGGGGGGGGGGGAGGAGGGGCTGAAACAGGTGCATTTTAAATGGATGAACATGATGGTTGCTGGTCCAGGGTCTTTGGGATACCTTTCTTGATACTCTTCAAGACTTGAATAAACTCCACGTTGCACATGTTCACAGTTTGGATAAAACAGTGATCGTGTCAATATCAAATCCTTATTAGGCACACCTCATCACTGAGGGATTCTCCTATTGAACGAGCCACGTGCCCGAGATCTAGAAACAGTGTCTAGAACCATTTGGATCTTTGAAAATACAAAGCACTTGCCTGCCTAGTTCTGGGTTGCAGAAGACATGGGCCTGTAGTGATCTTTGGAAAGGTAGAACAGTAAGAAGCTAACGGGAATTCCTACTGACCTGACACCTCCCCAAAACCAAAAGTAAACGGGTATATTTTCTAGCACAATAAGAATAATTATATGGTTTTTTATGAAACTACTTGAGTTTAAGACTAGTCCTATCTTAAGTTCTGTGGTCTGGGGCTAGACTAGCAGGAATGGATCTTCTCTTGGCTAATGCACTGTTTGCCAGCACCTCTCCTCCTTGTCCTGATGCCGTTTCCCTCCACCAAAAAAGGCCCCTAGCCTTCCAGTGTTATTTACTCCAGCCTGTATTCTACCTTCAAAGGAGTGTTCAAGCCAATTTGTTGTAGAGGAAATTAGTGGTTTGATAAAAAAACAATCTAACGTAGAGTAGCTCAACTCTCCTACTTGAATCTATATATTTATAACTAAATCTCTTGCTGGTGTTTTCAGATAGTGATGTATTTTGTACATTCATATACGTTCATCCTAATTCACTGTTTTTGGCTCTGTATCTGTCCTGATGGTAGCTGCATGCCATTGTGGGACATCCAGCATGGATGTAAAAATAAGGGTGCGACATAAAGTAGGGATTAAGGATGTTTGCCTAAAGATCGGGTCTAATCTCCTTCAGATAAGTGGTGGGATTCCAGAAACAGACTAGGGTCTTTGAGGGAAAAAGCAGGAGGGTGGCCATGTTCCTGGTCTTCAACCCCCATTCCACAAGTAACTCCTTTAGTGCTTATTCTGGTTTGAAGACTGCCTGTGCCTCAAGCCAGACACAGCCCATAGTGGAACCTTCTTGAGCACAGGTTATTACATTAACCTTCTGCAGCTCAAAGGATTGCATCTTCCATTTAGTTTGAGAGGCAACAGCTGGAATGAGCTTTCCACTATTAAGGAACC